AACACGGGATTTCAAAAAACCCCATAGAAAAAAGTCACAAGGGGCCAAATCGGGAGAGCGAGCCGGCCACTCCAAATCGCCCCTAATGGAGATGAGGCGCTCTGGGAAGTGTTCCCTCAAAACAGCCATCGATGCTCTTGAAGTGTGAGCCGTTGCACCGTCTTGTTGGAACCAAATGTCCCCTAAGTCCAACTCATCAGCCGTGGGAAAAAAAAATCCTCTAACATGTTTACGTACCGGTCTGAATTCACTGTCACCGTAACTTCATTTTCCTCAAACAACCAGGGACCAATAACTCCAGCAGACGAAATTGCACACCACACTGTGATTTTAGGTGAATGCAAAGGCCTTTGATGCAATTCTCGAGGATTGTTGGCAGCCCAGTAACGCATGTTTTGTTAGTTGACGGATCCACACAAATGAAAATGGGCTTCATCATTAAAAAAAACAGTAGTGTCCTCAGGAACGATTTCGAGAAGAATCTCACACGCGTTCCTCCGAGATTTGAAGTCACGTTCAGAAAGTTCCTGCACAATCGCCATCTTGTAAGGATGGAAATGAAGATCATCATGAATAATTCTCCTCAGGGAACGATTGGAAAATCCAAGGGCAGACGCATGTTTTCGCCTTAATAGCCTTTTAATAGGCCTATTTTCCAGCAGAGCCTACACGGTAAAAACAGATTACTTAGAAAAAGACAAAATTCTTTTTATGAAGACAAATTTATTAAATCCAACAAAACGATCTTCTCCCTATAGACGCTAGAGAATAATTACTTGATAATAGTAAAAAAACGTCTCAAAAGTGTATTTTCGTTACAAGACAGAAATATTTAATCCAAGAGCAAATTAATTTACTTCAAGTCACAAAGCCACTCTAGATTCAACAAAATATTTATTTGTTACTAGAAATGTCCGATTTTGATTTGAAAAAAAAAAAGAATGAAAAATTGAGAGGTACTTAATTATTTGACTGAAGATTTATGTTTTCGAATATCAAAAAGGATAAATTTACAGGGTTATGGACCCAACAGTGCCAAACCTTAAAGTAGCAGAAATAGGATGGAAATATGGAATCTTCTCAAATACTTAAGGACCATCCAGTACCGTATAAACGCTACAGAGCGGCAGAAAGCACTAACAATCCCAAATATATGAGATGACTTTATACTATTGAAGTTAACAAAACGATAGCGCGTTTCAGAGTACATCTAATGCCATCTAGCAGTGGCGTGATGGAACTAATTGCATGTTATACTTGTTACAAGTGTAGTTTGATTTCATGCTGTAACCAAATTTCTTAAATTATGACTATAAAGAACACCCTAACAAACTAGAGATACTACGTATTGTTTCTTTGGATAAATGACTGTTTATGATTTTTATGATTACAAGCACAAGTAAAAGTAATCGTTACCGCTTGCGCCTTCGGCGACATGTCACGACAAGATTGACTATGAAAACGCAACGAAATGTTGCTTTAAGAATATACTCTAGAATTTAGAATATTAATCTGAATAGCAAACTACTTCTTTTTTTGATTAAGAATATATTTTCTTAAAATACACCCAAGAAATTTTGAATTCATTTAAGATTATTTAAATTTGATGTAAGAGGTAAAAATTTCTTGATATAAGTAATGTCCAATTAATTGATTAGAAATGAAATAAAATCTTGAAGTGAACGTATTTGTCTCAAAGTTAGAATAAAGTTAAGAGTAAAATTGTATTAGAAAAAGATAAGCAGTATTTTTGTAGTGACAATATTTTATTACTTTTAATAAATATTTTTTCAGAATTAGCAAATATTTTGAGAAATTGCTCTTTCTTATTAGTAGAAATCCTTTTTTTCTGTGTATGTCGAACGGTGGATAAATAAGTTGTGGTATGATAAGTGGAATATACAACAATATCCAAGTATGCGTTTTTTTCAAAAGACCGAATATGGAATATGTAAGACAATAACACTAATTACCCGGTTTCAAATTAGGGAATTCCCTAATTTCGTACCAAGATAACAGTTTTACAAGTTAAGAAATATTAACACTCAGAATAATAAAAAAAAAACTATAGCGTTATTTCGTCTGGCCAGACAGACAAATAATTACGATGCGACGTCACCGTCTGGACAGTAATGGCGGGGCAGCGCCTAACGTGCGCATCAAAAACGAAGAGCGCGCAAATTGTTTTAAATGGGCAGGTAAGCCCACGCGCCCGCGCTGCCTGATCTACAGAATACAGATTTGGATGTAAATAGTGCAAAAAGAATTTTGGATTTAGGGTATCGAAGATAATATTAATATCTGCACAATTATAAAATGACGTAAATATCACTTAACTATAGTAGTATTGGTTCGGAGGGCAAGAATATAGGCATGTATTTTTATTATAACTATGTATAATTATTATCTAATAAAAATTTATGGGAAAATTTTACGTACAAGTTTTTTTTTCGAAAATAAAAAATAAAAATCCTTTTCATTGACAATTTTTTTCCTTCACATTTTTTTCCGAAAATCGTTAAACAGATACTTGTATTTCTTATCATCTAAATAAAACTACTCAAGCGAATACGTGACTGCACAGAACCCTCAAAATTTAAACAATGCTTGACATTTGAGGCCCGATGTTTCCCGCAAGGTTAAAGATATCTGCGGTCGCGACTAATTACTCACGTCAAACTTCAAATGGAGACATAATTCATGTCAGATACCTACTTTTGAATCTTGTCAAATGACCATACTACGGCCACGGTAAGGTGATATTATTTTAAACACCTAAAAAAATTAAATAATATAATAACATATACAGTAAATATATATATCATTTCTTAACTTCCTTTGAGTATTGTAAAAAACGAATAGAGGCTAAATGCTTAAATACGCAATAGAACTTCTCGTCGTGTATTAAATAAAAGGTTAACTGTGTAAAATGATCGCAAACCGTCTGCCAAATTTAATCATCATATCTTAGCCGCCATATATATGGCCTAAACACTCGCCTGAAAGAAGACCCGAAGAAAGAATAGTTGATGTTGTTGATTGATTGATTGACATATTACTGTTTACTGTTGTTGAAATACTGCTCCAGAGTAATAATATAAACAAATAAATATAGTATATTAGAGATCACCTCGGAATAGTCGTGTACAAGACAATCAAACTCAAAATTGATATATAATTGATGTACTTTCGACTCTGACCGCATGGCTAACGACTTAATGCTAACTAGTGACTGCCTGTCGACGATGTGATTTTGATACTTTTTTCTGTTATGTCAAGTGGACCGTGCCGAATAATAACGTTGAACGGAGAACCCCCAACTTTTCACAGCTTCACAGTATTTGGAGATTAAGGTGAAGTAAGATCTAAATTAGCAGTTTTGACGTATTTCGAACACAAGGAAAATCGGCTTTCGTATTAAAATATACGAATTCAGCTTGTTTTTTTTTTTAATTGATAACGAAAACAAAAGGTACAGGCAATGAACTATGTGATCCGAAATACAACTGACTAAACTTCCCTCGAATAAAACACAAAGATCCGTAAAATTTTAATTTTTCATATCGTCGCCTTACTTTTTCAAACTCGTGTCTTAAAGCACAAGTTACTGAAATGCAAAAAAATTGATTGTACATACAAATTTTGCAGGGTCACATTTCCTTCATATTCACACACTGGCTTTTACCTATTCTTAAAGTAATGCATCCAAATTAACACTCTTGATAAGAAATTTAAAATAAATTCTTGTCTATAAAAAAAATAATTATAAGATACGAGTTTACGAGAGTGTCGATATTCATCTACGGAAAAATCAGTTTCGTTCGTTTGTTATTAAAGATATTTCAATGGAACTTTTCTCTCTCGTGTTCCGTAATAAATACGTTAGGAACCTATGGGATAATTTTACAGCAACAGAATATATTTTATTTCTAAAAGGCAAATGTTTAAATATCGTGCAATGAATCTCTCGTTACCATTTCGCTTTAAGCAAGAATATCGCGACACCCTTCATAGAAATAATCAGATAGATTTTGCAATTAGATTTCTTTACCTGTAGAAGAAATCCGCTGACTGCAGGTTAAGAAATAGTTTTACAATATCGAGAATACACCAGTTACAAAATAGTAATGCGAATTTACAATTCCACAAAAATATTAGCATGGAGTATCAATTCATACATATTAACTTTAGCACATATTTAAAACTGTAGATGGCGATTGAATAGAATAAAAAATACAAAGTATTCAATCTCGAAAATTTGAGAATACATTAATACATTTGATACTGTTATTTAGTATGTCATAGAAAATATAAAAAAAGAAATGCAAAACTATTTAAATAACATTTTAGGAATGTTCCATTGAAATTTATTTACAATAAATTATGATAATTGATGAAAACAGTAAACTGTGAAAATAGACAACAAATCAAACGTTTGTCAATTTGTTAGTTTGCAGTTAATTTTTAATATACATATATATATATATAGTAATTTTTATAATATAATAAAAATAGATGGCATTTCTTTAAATTTCTTCTCGAAACTATGGAACGTTTTAGCTCTGATTTCTACTTTACAATATCAAAAGTACACACATAGCTTCTTTGTGATTTTGTTATATGTTATTGTAAATATAATCAATGCCTGAAAAAGAGCACAATAAGTATAGATTTAGTAACCTATATACTAAACCAATAACAGCAACCTCGACAAAAAATATAATTGCTGCCATCTGTTGGCTTTTTCGAATACTAGTACAATCGCATCGCGGGTACCACCTATTGATCAGCGTTAAGAATCAAACTAAGTGGAGTTACGGGTGCGATGTCATATGATGATGTAATATGTCATATATTTGTATGAGATGGGTATCTGTACTAATATAGTACATTACATTGGCTACGATGTTAGTAACAATCTATAAAACACAACTTACGCAAGGAAAATGTAAAATGCGACACGATCTCGATCGTACAAAAAGACAATACAAAGTACTCACGGGTTCTGTATCTCCCTGACTATCCTTGCCGAGTCCTTCTCCCTTCGACCAGCCCATCTTCTCCAGAAGTTTGAAACCTTTGTTCTCCGGAGCTATGGACCTGTCAACGAAATGACCGGTTCGCAAATTTATGTCTGTAGATAGTGGCTACTCTTTCTATGAGTGCCTCTACCATGAGTTTGCACAGTGACAGTCTACAGAAAATACTACACATTTTTAACCGACTTCAAAAAAGGAGGACGTTCTCAATTCGACTGTATGTTCTTATTTGTTTATTTTTTGTATGTATGTTACGCGATAAGTCCGGTATTTGTGAACCGATTTTCATGATTCTTTTTTTTGTTGGAAAGGGGGTACTTCCATAGTGGTCCCATTTCATTTTGAACAAAATCATCCACCTTTAAGGGTGCCTGTACACGCGTGAAGATTCATTTTTATAAATAGCGCCTAACTTTAATTTAGGAGCAATTATTTTAATGGTTGATTTTGCTATTTCTCCAATTCAAGGCGTTTTTCTCTCGATATACTTTGAGTAGTGAGAACCGATTATTATTATCTTCAGTGTCAAGTCCCGTATAGTAGTGAACTAGGGGATATTTCAGTAAAACTTAGCAAATAGACGTAATTCCACGTACTTCTGAGGTTGGTTTCTTTAGTACTCTGTATTGAGATTATTCTACGGTAAATTGTACAGCGCCCCAGTTGTCACAAGATGAAGTAACAATTTGTAAACTCATGGTAAATGGCCAGTTCAGTCTGACTGTTTATTGGTTTGAATAATACCATACATATTCACATATGTATGGTATTGGTAATGGAGGTAAAATGTATGTAATTGACAAAACTAACGTTTCAACATCTGTGCTCTGTGTTTTCTCGGAATGGTGCGTAGATCCCACAGTTTCCCTTCGCGCCTTAGCGCGATCGTTGTATGTCCCTTCTTCGATCATGAGTGGCTCGGGCGCATATTTGTTCTTCAAACGAGCTAGTTCGAGTTGATGCTGTTTTTGAACGCTGCATGTCCTGGTGTAGGCTGCCTTTTCTTTTTCTTGTGCTATAAGAATATAGCTTCTTAAAGCTCGATAAATCGAGGGTGACGTGAAAGGTAGTGCCTACCGTCATTGAAAAAGCTCCTGAGGAATATCATGCTCGCCGTATATCGTTACAATGTTTCATGCCATATTAGGCTAAAGTTTTGGTGATGGGGCGAATCGGGATTTTAACAAATGAACGAACCCTTATGTTGTGGATATTCCAAGGATTCGCATGAAGCATTTCGCTTCCACAATTATACAATATAAGCTTTACATATCTGGAAAGTATTCGACACCTATGTGACTTATTCCCCGATCACTATAACTTGGGCATTTTCAAGACGAGAGTGGGAAAGCATTATTTAGGTGTGCATGCTCCATTGTCGACTTCGTCGTCACTTTCCGTCAGGTGAAATAGAAGTCAAAATGTACACTTATATATTTTATAAAAAAATATTAGTTTACATATCGACTGTGAACTGGCAACCGGTACTATCCCAATTTTGACAACTTTACCGGTTGCCAGTTCACAGTCGATATTTATGTTTATTTATACACAAAAGGTATTATCTTACTTTCCATAAGCAGTCCGGGTTCGCAATGTCCACACGTGTCGTTCCCCGGATGTATGTGACAGAGCAACTTGGTTTCCCCTAGTTGTATTATACTGCCATGCACAATCTGAAAAGATTTCAATGCAATGTGCCAAACGGTGTGGTTACACTGATAACCGGGTCCGAAATTAGAGAATCCCCTCTAGATACCATGAGTACCAGAGATGCAGAATGCATTCCAGGTCACTACACAGAACACCCAGACTAGTACCTAACTAGAAAACGTCATTTCTCAAATTGACTCTACCGGGTAAAGAAGCCGGGTATCGTTGGGCCGACGAGACCGTCAAATATAAGCTCCCCAGTTTCAGCATGATATAAATGTGAAGTTTTTTTATGATACCAAGTGGCGGGCCGAACACGTGCGCCTGGTGGTAAGCGACACGCCTGTTTATAGGTGATCCAATGCAACTTAGAGCTTTAAACTTCAAAGATCTGAGCCCGTCACCATGAGACACAAATTGATAAGTCCCATGTGCCTGTAATTTCACCAGCACCCCTCGAAATGGAACGCAGTAATGCTCACATTACTGCTTGGCGGCAGAAATAGGTATGGTGGTAGTGCTTCCTTGGACGAACTCTTTTACAAGGAGATCTACTGCTACTAATCGTTATCGAATCAAGATCGTCAACATAGCTGGTAGAATAAGAAAGCTAAAGTGGCAGTAAGCTGAATTTATCTGTCGAAGAACTGACAACCGATGGGGGAAACGAGTTCTTATAAGTAATGTATGTATTGGTATCTAGAGGTATTATCTATTATTCGATCACCTAACATGATATCGCAAACAAAAAATCAGTTCTAAGACTACAAAATACAAAATTGTTCACGATTAAAATCGTTTGTCTTTGTAAAAACAATTCTAGCTATATAATATAATATAACTAACTATTTATAATCAAGGTAGACCTTTGACTCACTTCCATAGGGTCACTGACGACCTGACTCTGTGACATCTGCAAACCGTTGAGTAGCGTTCCGTTTTTCGAGCCGAGGTCTGTCGCCATATACATACGACGCTCCATGTCGTATTTAATGTCCAAATGATTCTACGACAAAATTATATTAAATATTTCACATTTGCACCAAAATATTTGTCATCTGATACGAGATAGGATAAGAATTGACTCGCTTTGCCTACCATCTCACAACAACATTTCTAAATTTGCCTATTGAAAGCATAACAATCAAATAAATAATAAATATTAGACAACATCACATATGTTGCTTTGATTCCAAAGTAACTAAAGCACTTGTGCTATGGTAGTCGGAAACAACGACGGTAGCACAACACTCAGACCCGAGACTATATAGAAAAGTTAGTTTTCTACACTGACCCGGCCGGGAATCGAATCTGGGACCTCATAGATGGCGACACCATGGAAACCTGTATGCAAGCCGCTCGACCACAGAGATCGTCAAAATACGCATTAATAATAACTATCACAATTCACGTCACTTAGCATATCACATGCAGCGTAGTAAACAAAATTAGCCTCTATGCAAAGGTTTTCACTTTTTAAAATTGAATATCTGGGCTGGGAAATGAACACATATTGCAGTATTTCACAATATCACATACTTACTCTCGACACATTTTGTTCTTTCAAAAGTATAGTATGCTGATTCCCCTCTCTGCCGATGGTGCCTCCATCCTTAGTGACGAGGAACAGACTGCCTACTTTCAGTTTGGATAGGTTTGTTTCGCGCACAATGATGCGCATGCACGGAGGGTGGTGTTTGGCTACAGTATCTGTGTTCAAAGACAATACCTATAACTTAAAATCAAAATATTTCTTTTTATAATGTCAAGTGAAGGGACGTACAATTCGTGCGCCTGATGGTAAGCTACCTTATGGTAAGTCCATAGCAGTCGCAGTGCCACTCAGCGCTTTAAATCGTAAGGATCTGAGGGACACTGCTACTGTGCCTGTCACCCTCAGACAGGTTGACAAGTCCCATGTGCCTATAATTTCACCAGCACATTTACCTTTTAAAACCAGAACGCAGTAATGCTGATATTCCTGCTTGGCGACAGAAATAGGTAAGGTGGCAGTACTTCCCTGGACGAACTCTCACACACGGACGAACACAAGGAGAAAAGATCTGTTGACTAGAGTTGTTCAGATTGGTAACGAGCTTGGTACAGTTTGCAGCTCTAGTTCTATAACTATTCACAATATTCGATAATGCAGAGCTGTAGCATACCAATGATTCGAATATAACGCGTGACGCATGTGTCGAGCTCTATACAAATATGTCTGAGTTGCTAACATGGTTAAGAAATTCATCCTTATTATACTATAAGCACATGTAGACACCCAAGCACCCAATTTACCATCATCGCTAGCAGTAGCTGTACTAGCATTTGATTCTTCATCCGATGAGTTTTCACTCTCAGTATCACTGCATTCCCCATCTTCCATTTCTTCTTTCACCTCTACATTTTCCGTTTCATTGTTTTCTTTATTTTTTTGTAGAGACACATCTTTGTCTTTTTCTTCGCCATCTTTTGTAGGACTTTCTGAAGTTTGCTTGTCAGATTTTTTCTTCTTTTTAGGCTTGGGTTCTTCTTCCTGTAATATACAGTATAATGTTGGTATTGGACAATAACTGGGTACAGTATTTACCTAAGGCGGTATGGCCTCGAAGTGAGACCTGAGAAAGATTCTTGGTTAATTCATCTATGTCTTCTTCTGTCTTCCCGGCCTGAAATGTAAGAAGGTGATATTTAGAAATGGGGTTCATTGTTTAAAATGCACAAATGGATATATTATGAAAATGCTGTGTATGTTCAAAATTGTTTAGTCCTTTTTATGATATTATTGGGTGCTATCTCACAATTGTCATTGGTGTCGGTTTCAGGTTAATACAAAGTAAACTTAATTACACTTCATTATATAAATCACTTTCGTAATCAGTAAGAAAAGGACAAAAGAAATAATTTCCATTGAAAACTGTAAAATTAGGAACTCCTTACATCTACTTCTGATGCAAATGTAATGTTATGTTCTGTCCATTTTTTTGCCATTGCCTCAAATGTACAATATTAATCATAATGATAGAACAATTAGTCCAGTAGGTTTTGAGAAAAATAAATGCAAACTCTTTTAATTTTTTTAATCAGTTATGACCAATTAACAATACTGAATGGCATAATTAGCAAAATATTTATCACACTGTTAACACAATAGTGTATTAACTGAAAAAGTGTCTTCTTTCAGAATCAATGAAAAGCTCACTCCCCGTGAAACATCATTATTTATGCACAGGATAAAGTTTATTACAGACATCTAAGTAATTTACTACTTGCCAAATATATTTCAAAATAAAAGTGAAAAAAAAAAAATTTTTATATTTTTGAGTAGGCAGTTTTGGCTAGATCTAGCTCCCATAAAGTTTGTCTCGTTTTGACTTAAGTAGATATCTTTTATTTGTTACTTACAACAGTCTAATATTGGTTTTATTCACGAATCAAATGTCACATTCAGCAATTATATAAACTTGAATTTCACATATTTTAAATTACAACACTATTGTAATAGCAGAGTACCAATAGTATACCTTCTTATGTTTTCTAGCCTTTCTCTTATTGTGAGCGATCAAAGATGCATTTGCAGCCAGTGCACTTTGGTCAGGGTAAGAGTGGAAGACAAATTCCTTTTTATCTTCTGAGTAGTAGTAGTAACATCCTGTGTCTGTGTGGTAGTATAGGCCTAGCTCCTGTAAACACATAACATATTTTTAATAAACAGAGGAACTTCTAACAAAAACCTTTTTATATAACATCTTTGATGCCGTAACATAGGTGAAAACCATAAAGAATTAAACTACTAAAGCACAAATACAATTTATTTTAAAATTATCTCATAAAAACTCAAAAAACTGCTGCACCTGAGACCATTCATTGCTAATTCAAAACACAAATTTTTTGTCTTATGCACAAATTCTATCAAAAGTCAAATTCCTAGCACAAGTTGTGATTTATTAGTGATTTTTATTTATAAAATTAATTACAGTAATTAGCAAGAATAATAATAATAATAATAAAACAATAACATGACAAGGAAGACAATATTTATGAACAGCTGACCTCTCATTCATTCTTCTCGCAAAGCATTATACCATTGCTTAAGACGTTTTTCCATCCCCATATATAACACATTCAGTTTTATCAGACGAGTGCATTGATTTGAGCCAGTATATATTAGATGATTTAATTGCCTTTGCCCAGCAGTGGGACATAATGGGTTAATTAGTAATAATAATAAGTCAGGAGGTGGAAAAAAAATGGTAGGTCTAAGCATAACAGTAGCGTAAGTACATAAAAATGCAAAAACAGTGATGTCAAGCATACCCTGTAATTGGTACTCAATATATGATGGAATAAATATAATAAGATACTTACTGAATTATAATAGTATCCAGTCTTATAATCATAATACATGCCGGCTGATTCAACATACACCATTCCAGATTGCTGAAGAGCACTCTGAGCCACCTCTTTAACTTGGTCAGCTATACTCTTGCCTTCTTCATTATTGTTAATATTCCATACAGTCTCTTCTTTTAATACTTTATTATCTGTGGTCATTTTAGTGCTAGAGTCACTAGAAGTTGAATTGGAATGTTGTTCTGTTTGAGTAGAAGAACATTTATGTAGTTTGTTTTGATTTTCTATTGAACCAGGTTCATTACTTTGCATAGTTTCTACTTTAACGCTAGGCATAATTGAATCTGAGTTACTGTTATCAGTGCTTGTAGCTCTTCCTCTGATGATGTTCTCCTGAAAAATGTTTTTGTTTTATTTTATTTTATTCTTTAGGGAAACTAAATAATAATGAAAGTTTCTAAATAAATGGCAGTACCGATATATTATTCATACAATGCACGCAGTATATATACATATTATTCAGAAAATCGCTAGAATTGTTTAAAATGTTTAAAACAGTAAATTTGTTTGTAATACACACAAAATAATAGGTTCGATAACCCTTTACACAAACCATTTTCTTCAAATTTTGTTGCATTTCCCTTATGAGTCGCATTTTCTTCTTGATATTATGTTGCATTTTCACGATAAGATTGTATATTTCAGGTCTATATTTTAAAGATATGCGAAGTTTCCTCATGTTAGGTTTATTTTTAGGACCTCTTTTTCGACCTTCACTTTTCTTATTACAATTCTCCATTTATACTTGTACTGTGCAGCACTGGCTTATTTAAGAAAAATAATGATAGATTTAACTGATGATGATCAGTTAAATAGTCCCTAAACAACGAAAAATCTTTTTATTCTCCTTATTAATTTATTAGCGGTGCCCTTTTAGGATTTCGCCCATTGGTATCGGGTTTTCCGCTAAGTAATTATAATATGTTTATTTTAATTTTATATTAACGAAGAATCAAAATGTCAATGATAAAAATCTACATCAAATTTATATCTTTTTAATTTGTGCATTAAATTCACATCTTATCTGACATTGACCACAGACGTTGACGTCACGTTCGTCAAGTTGACGTGACGACTGACTGTTTTTGACAATGCATCTTTTAGTTACCAAAATTATTTAATTTTTATTTGTAACAGAACAGTCGATTCGTTTCCCTATTAAGGTATCTCTTACAGTTTATTGCATTTTGTACGTGTCGTCAGAAACGCGCTTTTTGGCAGTTGTTTAAGTATTCATGAAGTATGTTACTGAACAACCTAGACTATGGAAACCAAGCAACAATGACTGCAGCTGTTTTTATATTCTGTAATCTGTGCTTTGACACTGACGATCACCATAATTTTTATATTATTCCAAGAAGCTTGAATATTATTCCTATAAACACTGGCCCAAGCCTATTATAATGGCCGCCGTTAGGGAAATGTTGCATGCTTAGACCTAGTATAGTAGGTATTGTATTATCTGTGCTGAGACTATGGATTTATTTTTTTTCCATACTGTAAGGTTCTATGCATGTAGTTGTCAGTCACTGAAGAAGCGGCAGTGTGGTGATGTTTCTTATACATGCAACCCATTAAAAAAATTGATGACAAAAATCAATTGAGGTTAAGAAATAGGCGCCAAACTGGAAATATTACATTTTCAATGTTTTTGTAGAGATTTATTATGGCACATTCGAATTATTTATCAATTACCGACATCCTAGTAACTAACGAAAAAGTTCCTTGCAAATTTTTACATGATTTGCCGAAAATGGGTGCGTTGGGGTGTACTATACTTTAGGACACCAATTAATTTTATTTATGAGGTGAAAATATTTAATCCTCATTTCCAGGTTTCCTAGACCCATCATGTACAGAAGACGACTTAAGAGCAGGATCTAACGTTGAAATACCGCTCTGGTTAGCGGAATCATTATTTGCAAGAAGACCACCATTAGTTACAGTGGATTTGCCCAAAATATACAAAGATGCATACAGAGAGATCTTAAATGCAGACGCGTGTACAGTGGATATGCACAAATTAGGACAATATTTCTATGAATTGGGATGCTATGTTGCTAAGCATGATATTAAAGGGGAAGTAGCATCAACTTTAGTGAATGTAAGTTACTGCAATAGATTATAAACATGTTACTGCCCCCGTGGCCGAACGGTTACTATTTTACGTAGTTAGTGGCCGGACTGCCACGTAGAGGTCCCAGGTTCGATTCCTGGGCCGGGAGAAGTATTTGTATAAAAATTAATATAAGTATGGTCTACATTTATTTCTCTCATGAGATTGGGTACAATTTGTGGATATCTATGTCCAAGTGACAAAGGGTTTCCCTAGTGCGGGACTATGTTGAGTGTGTGCGTTATTATTATTATTAATTATTTAAGTATTTTACTATTTACTTTTGAATTATGTTTTGTAACCATGAAATTTAAAAATAATTCTAGGATTTCCATACACAACAGGTGTTACTATTCTTTCATTATTAAAACTCCATATAGTCCCACAATTGCTCAAAATTGCAATTATAATTTGTAATTGCAGTCGCAATTAGTTAGCAGATTGCAATTGCAATTAGATGATAGATGTGACAATTTTATAACAGTCCCGTATCCTGTAATCACTCCTCATACCTGATATATTGCATGATTGTTGTAAAAGTTAATAATACTAGCTGGTGCCTATGACTTCATCTGCATAGAATAAATACTTCAAGTAGCCTACTGTACTATACTAATTTTCATAGTTTAATTGGTTCTCTGTACAAACTTTCATCTCCTTTTTCCCTTTTAATATTTATTTTTGTGACAAAAAGTAGCTTATTTCCTTTCTCTAGGTATTTGGTGCAATCGGCTGTCCATAGGCGCCTATTATGCCTATTTCCCCTAGGTAACCGTCTCATCAAAATTGGTTCAGCAGATTAGGCGTTAAAACATAACAGACAGAGTTACTTTTGCATTTATAATATTCGTTTTGGATCTTCTATTTATATCTCATATTTCCTCGCCTGATCCCCTTCTTTCTCCAATACTCTTCTTGATTCCATTTCCAATAAGTTTGTCCTTTTGAAAGACAAAAGTCAAAAACCTTGCAAGTGGCTAAAATGCTAACTGCAAAAAATCAGGGATAATGTAAAAACTTGCATGATACTTATTTTACAGACATTCAGGCAAAGATTCAGAATGCTTCTATCGGCCTGTGTTGCCAATGACTCAATAGCAGCCATGCAACCTCTTTCAGCCAGTGAAAGGCATAGAGCCTCTGATGCTGCAACTACGGAACAAGCTCTGTCGACCTGGTTACAGAGAGGGGATTCTCCTTTGACAACTGCCAATATGGTTGCTAATCATAGAAAACGGAAACGAGCAGAGATGGAAATGTTATAAATAAAGTATGGGCTTAAATAACATTTGTCTTTTTTATTATACATACGCAATATGAACCTTAAACTCATCTATGATATAAACTAAAATGTACGGTACATGAATGTACCACATAATATACTAAATTTATTTTAGTTTCGTATGATTTATGCAACCTAAATATAATAATTTTTTTT